ATAATAATAATAATAATAATAATAATAATAATAATTTATTATTTATACGCTGTCCATCTGGCTCCCAACAGAATATTAAAAAGACAATAAAGCATCAAACATTAAAAACTTCCTGATATAGGGCTGCCTTCAGATGTCTTCTAAAAGCTATGTAGTTCTTTATCACCTTGACATCTTCAGGGAGGGCTGGTACCACTACCAAGAAGGCCCTTTGCCTGGTTCCCTGTAACCTCACTTGTCGCAATGAGGGAACTGCCAGAAGGCCCTTGGAATTGGACCTCAGTGTCCGGGCAGAACAATGGGGGTGGTGACACTCCTTGGAAGTGTACTGGGCCGAGGCCATCAGGGGTCAGCAAACTTTTTCAGCAGGGGTCTGGTCCACTGTCCCTCAGACGTTGTGGGGGGCTGGAATATATATATATATTTGGGGGGGGGGGAGGAACGAATTCCTGTGCCCCACAAATAACCCAGAGATGCATTTTAAATAAAAGCACACATTCTACTCATGTAAAAACACTCTGATTCCCGGACTGTCCACGGGCTGGATTGAGAAGGTGATTGGGCTGGATCTGGCCCCCTGGCCTTAGTTTGCCTACCCATGATTTAGGACTTTCAAGGTCAGCACCAACACTTTGAATTGTGCTCAGAAATGTACTGGGAGCCAATGTAGGTCTTTCAGGACTGGTGTTATATGGTCTCGGCGGCCACTCCCAGTCACCAGTCTTGTTGCCGCATTCTGGATTAGTTGCGGTTTCCAGGTCACCTTCAAAGATAGCCCCATGTAAAGCGTATTGCCGTAGTCTAAGCGGGAGATAACTAGAGTGTGCACCACTCTGGCGTGACAGTCCACAGACAGGTAGGGTCTCAGCCTGCCTGGTAGACAGTTGCCCTGGACACAGAACTGATCTGTGCCTCCATAGACAGCTGCGAGTCCAAAATGACTCCCAGGCTGCACACCTGGTCCTTCAGGACCAGGGAGTCCCCCACACCTGCACCATGAAATCAATCTTCTTTAAGGGCATGTGGAACCACAATGTGACTTTATCCACTTGTTGAAACTTTTGTCTTTTTTCCCATTCTACTTGAGAGGAAGTCCTGAATGAGGTTTGAATTTCACTTCAGGCAAAATATAGCGATTACCTAAGGGAGTTTGCACTTTCACCTCTCTGGGACAATTTTTCTACTTAAAAAAAAAGGTTTTTTTGTGTTCCTTCCAAATCCCTCAGATGTTCTGCCTGACAGAAATAATCCCTGCATTAGCATCAACATTTGCCGTCCTCAAAACTTGGCGACAGCCTGAGGGAAATGTGGTGCTCTTGTAAAATGCTGCAAGTTTACAAAAAAAACCCCTCATTTTGGCTTCTCTCCTTTAATGCCCTGAAAAATTTAGCCTCAGAAAAGGAACCTTCAAATTAGTTTCAGGTTTCGCTTGAGGTGAAATTTCAGTACCAAGCTGAATACTTAATAAGCAGCAAGAGATCTGTACTGCACAAAAAGGTTTGTCGAATGAAAATATTTTTGCCACAGCCCTATTTTGAAAAGCTTGGGAACCTTCAGTAAAATGATGTAGCTGCCTGCTCAGAAGTAAGTCACTTTGTGTTAAATGGATCAGTCTAGAGCAGCGGTTCTCAACCTGTGGGTCCCCAGATGTTGTTGGACTACAACTCCCATCATCCCTGAACTCTGGCCTTGCTAGCTAGGGGTGATGGGAGTTGTAGTCCAACAACAGCTGGGGACCCACAAGTTGAGAAAGGCTGGTCTAAGGTTTGGTTTATGGCTGGCATTTGGGAAAACCAGGATTCTTGTGCCTTCAGAAATCCTACAGGTTAAACCCTTTCTAGAATGTGGAGATAGCTTCGCAATGATTGTATTGCCTAATTTTGTGCTATAGCTTGCCCTGATGGCAATCACTTTGTGATTGGTACCCAGGGCACTTTTTCTTGAAATTCAGTTTGTGCTTAGCAGTCCCCAAAGGTTGGTGACTCCTGAGCTCCCAGGGCACTATAGAACACAAAAGACCTCAATGTTTTGAAGTAGCTAGAGGATTCAGAAAAGATATTAAAGCCCACTGCAATGCTTTCTCTGTGTCCTTGAAAATGGTCCAGAAACTTCAATTGGTCCAAAATGCCACTGTCAAAGTTCTATCTGGGATTAGCTAGATGCATATTATTCCAGCAGAGGCAAATTTAGGGGAGAGCGACCGATTCTCCTGCACTTGATGCCGAAATCTTGAACTGACAGCTTCCCTTCAGACTCTTAAACTAGAATATTTTACATATCCTTGCAAATGGGATACAAATCAATCAATTAATAAAACAGACCAATCAATAAACATTTAAATAAATAGTAAATAAACAATATGACTTGGTTCTGGAACTTTGCGCTGACAGCTTTCCTGCAGACTCTTAAACTAAAATATTTTGTTCATCCTTGTAAATGGGGTTGCTTTCTGGTTAACTGGATAAATGCCTCAGCAAACAATGAATTACACCAAAGACTGAAGGAAACCATTTCTGACTTGAAGAAAGAAAGCCCACAGCGATGTAATAACCAGCTGCTGCAAACTATATAAAATACCAGCTGCCAGCTCTTATCCATAACAGTATTTCTTCAGTTTTCTTCATATAATGCAGTGTGATGAATCTCAACACTGTTCAAAAAGCATAGATCCACAGCACACACTGTCTATTCAGACTTAAGCCCCACGGGGTTTAATGGGGTTTCGTCCTCAGCAGGGAAGGACTGTAATATATAATGTGCCATATAAATATAAATATATTTATATTTCATGTGTGTTTTGACTATGGCCCATCAATTAATGAGAAAATGAATTGCAGAATGTGGGTTTTGTTGTGCTAACCTTGTTTTCAATGTGGCTGGTGAGTCAGGTCAGTTTTCTTTCATTCAACAAATCGTGTCTCAGTGTTCCGTATTCTTCAGCCTCCTCATGTGTCCAGACTTCCTGAAAAATCCATTATGTCCTCAGCAAGATTGGCATATAAGCACGGGAAATGGTGGGAGGGAGCTGTCTATCACACTCCTAGTGGTTTTGTTTTTAAAAACAGACTTTTTGAACTTTTAAATAAATCAGTGTAGGTTTTTTTTTAAGAAAAAAACAACGCTTCCCTTAGGAACAAATTCAATGACCATGCCAGTCTCAAGCAGTTGGTAATTAGTCTCCTGGACATTCCACCTATGCATACTTTGGTTGGTCATTTCACAATTACCTTCCTCCTCCTCCTCCTCTTTCTTTCTTTGGTGATCACTTGTAGCCAAGTAAGATCGTCTTCTATGAACACGTTCTTAACAGTGAGTCCAACCTCCTAATATGCAGGAATCACAGCTATCAATAACCTTAACCCCCGTGCAAAGTAGCACTGTGACACCTAGGTAGCCTTCTGCCAGCTGCTGTCACCACCAGGTAAGTCTGATGCGACCCACCAGCACAAGATGGGACTTAAGGAGAAGATTTTTTGCTGCACCTCAGCTGGTGCTGTTTAGCTTCCACTGTAGACTTCTGATACAGCAAGCTCCACCCAACACCCATCAGAATTATACAGAAATCCGAATCAAGTTCTAAAGTGCTCTGCAAATGAGGCACACTCTTCCATCGTCTCCCGAGAAGGAAGTTATTGTTGTTGTTTAGTCGTTTAGTTGTGTCCGACTCTTTGTGACCCCATGGACCAGAGCTCGCCAGGCCTCCCGCAATTTGGTCAAACTCATGTTGGTATCTTCAAGAACACTGTCCAACCATCTCATCCTCTGTCATCCCCTTCTCCTTGTGCCCTCAATCTCTCCCAACATCAGGGTCTTTTCCAGTGAGTCTTCTCTTCTCATGAGGTGGCCAAAGTATTGGAGCCTCAGCTTCAGGATCTGTCCTTCCAGTGAGCACTCAGGGCTGATTTCCTTCAGAATGGATAGGTTTGATCTTCTTGCAGTCCATGGGACTCTCAAGAGTCTCCTCCAGCACCATAATTCAAAAGCATCAATTCTTCGGTGATCAGCCTTCTTTATGGTCCAGCTCTCACTTCCATACATCACTACTGGGAAAAACATGGCTTTAATTATACGGACCTTTGTCGGCAAGGTGATGTCTCTGCTTTTTAAGATGCTGTCTAGGTTTGTCATTGATTACTTTTTTACTATACACTAATAGTGAACTCATTCTCTGAGTGTGCATTCTTCTGTTGTGAAAGTGGCACCACCCATGCTCAAGATGAAGGCATTAGTACCCTATGGTTTGGAGGAACCCTATTGTTTGGGGATGGCTTGGCACCCTGCCCACTCCAGCTGCCAATCCAGTACATTGGGGACTGAGCATGCCTTGTCGCCTTACTGACTATTGGAGGGAGAGGAGGGAGTGCAGAAACTCAGAAGAGGGAGAGAGAAATTGTTTTTAACATTTCCTCATTGCTTTATACAAAAAAGGCTTCAAAGCAACTGAGCAAGATAAAATACAACCGATAAAAACAATTAAACCTAGAACGCTTAAAACATTGCATTGTACAAAATACATAAATTGTTCAAATAAATTTTAAAAAATTAAAAATTGTCCAATAGCACCTTGTTGTTGTTGTTTAGTCATTTAGTCGTGTCCGACTTCTCATGACCCCATGGACCAGAGCACGCCAGGCACTCCTGTCTTCCACTGCCTCCCACAGTTTGGTCAAACTCATGCTGGTAGCTTCGAGAACACTGTCCAACCATCTCGTCCTCTGTCGTCCCCTTCTCCTTGTGCCCTCAATCTTTCCCAACATCAGGATCTTTTCCTGGGAGTCTTCTCTTCTCATGAGGTGGCCAGAGTATTAGAGTCTCAGCTTCAGGATCTGTCCTTCCAGTGAGCACTCAGGGCTGATTTCCTTCAGAATGGAGAGGTTTCATCTTCTTGCAGTCCATGGGACTCTCAAGAGTCTCCTCCAGCACCATAATTCAAAAGCATCAATTCTTCGGTGATCAGCCTTCTTTAAGGTCCAGCTCTCACTTCCTTAGCACCTTAGAGTCCACCTAAGTTTGTTCTGGGTATAAGCTTTTGTGTGCATGCACACTTCTTCAGATACTTCTTCAGATCTGAAGAAGTGTGCATGCACACGAAAGCTTATACCCAGAACAAACTTAGTTGGTCTCTAAGGTGCTACTGGACAATTTTTTAATTTATTTTGACTGTGCCAGACCAACACGACTACCTACCTGAATAAATTGTTCATTCATTGGCAACATCCTACACACCCCATTCAAAAAGAGCATCGCCGCAGAGTTCATCTTAGTTACCAAAAGCCTAAGTGAATAAAAGAGGTCTTGGTCTGGCACATAATCTAGCAAGCTGGGATGCTGAACTAAAGCAGTCCATGCTCCAAGTTTTTGATGCAGGTCCCAATGGCAATATTTTGCTGCTTTTGTCTATTTCTTTGTAAGCCACCCACCAGGAATGGGATGGGCTGTTGAAGGGTGAGAGGTAAGTTAGTAAATGCAACGTGAGAGAGAATGCCGCGGGAAATTTTCGAGCAGGCCAACTTTCAGCCGCTGAGCATGGGGAGAAAGCACTTAGCAATCTCTGATCACACCTCAAGTCATTGGAGTGACCTTGCTCTGCGCTGCTCTCCTGGAATCAGATACAGTTCAGCCAAGTGGAACGGATGCCAATGAAAAGAGCACCGAAAAAGAGACGAAGAGAAAAGACCTCCGACATGTGAGTGAAAGGCCAATATTGCACAGGCAGCAGGAACAAATTGGCTTTTGAAAAATGTAGAAGTTATTTTTTTAAAAAAAATAATGATTTCCATAGTCATATCAGTGCAATAAGATTCAGGAATCAGTGGGAGAGAGTAATTTCAGAGAAACCAGGAGAGATATTTTCTTGTCTTGGGGAAAAGATCCTCGGTAACAAAAGTATTCAGAAGTCTACAGTGAAAACTAAACAGCACCAGCTAAGGTGCAGCAAAATAAATAATAATAATAATAATAATAATAATAATAATAAATAATAATAATAATAATTTATTATTTCTACCCCACTCATCTGTCTGGGTTTCCCCAGCCACTCTGGTTGGCTTCCAACAAAAGATTAAAAATACATTAAAACATCAGTCATTAAAAACTTCCCTAAAAATGCCTTCTCCTTAAGTCCCATCCTGTGCTGTTGGGTCCCATCAGACTTACTTGGTGGTGGCAAGTGACATAATTTACCTAGGTATCACAGTGCTACAGGTGCTTTGTACAGAGGTTAAGGTTAAGGCTATCAATAGCTGTGATTCCTGCATTGCAGGAGGTTGGACTTTATCAGTGTTTCCCAAACTTGCGTCTCTAGCTGTTCTGGGACTACAGTTCCCATGAGCCCTGGTCCTGCTAGGAAGGGATGATGGGAGTTGTAGCCCCAAAACAGCTGGAGATCCGAGTTTAGGAAACACTGGACTAGATGATTCTTGGAGTCGCTTCCATCGCTACAGTTCTAAGATTCTACAATTCAATATTCACCAATCACATGTACTAACTCCTGCATCAGTGGCGGAATCAGATAAGTGCTGGAGATGTAATGAGTTTGATGGTACGTTTTATCATATGTGGTGGACTTGTAAAAGGGTAAAAGAGCATTGGGAAATGATATATAATGAACTGAAAAAAATGTTTAAAAGTATCTCCCCACCCAAAAAAAAACCAGAGTCCTTTTCGTTGGGGATAATTCAGAGGGAAATTCCCAGGTGTCAAAAAAGACTATTTATGTATGCCACTACTGCGGCCCGTGTTTTGTTAGCCCCCAAATGGAAAACCAGCGAGGTCCCAACCAAAGAAGAATGGCAACTTATGGTGGAATACGCACAGATTGCAGACTTAACATATAGAATAAGAGAACAAAAAGAATGTATGTTTAAAGAAGACTGGAAAATGTTTACTGAATATATGGGTGAAAACTGTGTTCATTTAAAAACGCTGGTAGCATTAAGATAAATTCAACAGTGTCAATAAGTTTTGATGGATGTAACAATGGAATACTGAATGGCATAGTTCATGTAAAATATGCAGGGATGTACGGTATGCAAAATGAACCACGGAAAGGGAAGAAGGGAAGTCATTGATTTAAGTTGCTTAAATGAATATTTTGAAATGTAAATTAGAAAATTTAATTAAAAAGTTGTTTTTAAAAAGGAGAGGCGGTCTACGATACGATAATCTTTTTTGTCATTGTCCCATACAGAACAATGAAATTGAAAATCTACATCAGATATTCAGAAACCAACAAGCCTGCTATCCCAGCCTGGTTAGCCCCCTAAAAACTCTGATACCCCATAATTAAATACAATATACTCCCATAGAGACTACCTTACACTGAGTTTAAAACCAAAATTGCATTTGAATAGAAACTGTTTCTCAGGCGGCTAGTCCTAGTCTTTATAAACCTGTACCTTCTTCCAGAAGGCAGAAGCTGAAAGAGATCATTTCCGGGGTGCGCACTACAGTGGTACCTCAGGTTAAGTACTTAATTCGTTCCAGAGGTCTGTTCTTAACCTGAAACTGTTCTTAACCTGAAGCACCACTTTAGCTAATGGGGCCTCCTGCTGCCACTGCGCTGCCAGAGCACGATTTCTGTTCTCATCCTGAAGCAAAGTTCATAACCTGAGGTAATATTTCTGGGTTAGCGGAGTCTGTAACCTGAAGCGTATGTAACCAGAAGCGTATGTAACCCGAGGTACCACTGTATCTCTGCAGCTTTCTTATGACACCTAGAAGCATAGATTTGATCCAAGGTAGGGAGAGTGCACCCAATTATTCTCTCCACTGTCTTTACAACCCTGGACAACATTGTTTTTTTCCCTGACCGTGTAGCTCCCAAACCAAACACACACTACCTTCTGAATACCAGTTGCTGGGGGTCACAAGGGTCTTTTCTCTAAGCCAGCAGGGTTCCTCTGATGTTCACCGACTGCCTCTTACAAAGCGAAATGAGGGGAGGAATAGGAACAGCATGTGCCATTAACAGGCTCTGTTGAAACTGCCCTGTTAGCATGTGTTCAAGCCAAAGAACCTCGGGTGGGATGAGACACAAGAAGCAGCTTGGTTTATTTGTCCAGCAAACCTATTATCAGCCACTCCTAGGGCAGCCAATATGGTGCCCCCCGCCCACAAACCCATTTCGAAGCTAACGCAATAGGACTGCAAAACTCAAAGCGGAGAGTTATAAAGAGACCCATTCATTTCCACCCCCAGACTGAGAAAAGCCATTACAGGGGGAAAACAAATTATTTAAACAAAGATGTATCTGCTTTAATGTCACGATTGAAGAGCATCTAGGAATAATACCGAGGGAGGTAGGAAGGTTTTGTGGCAAATGAATATGACTAAGAATATTGGTCTGGGTTATTTTATGCACCAGCAGCCTCATTACTCTCCCTGCACAGTCTGCTTTCTGCAGCATGCACTAAGCTAAATTCCATTAAAATCAATGGTGCAATTGCTCTCTATTGGGCGCGGTAGTATTATGAGAAATGCAAATATTATGGAGAGAAAGTAAAGCTGAAAACACACATATCTCCGGATTGCTCATCTTGAACCAAACGAAGGGTTCAGAATCAGCCTCGGTATGTAAGTACGCTCATCGACTGCACGCTAATATTTCTGTAATGTTGTCTGTGCAAACTTTATCTGCCTCTCTGTTGCCTTAATGTACTATTCTAGTGGTAATGTTTGAATTTCATCCTAGGAATTGAGGCAAGGACACAACACGGGGTTCCCTTTTTTAAATTTAATTTATGAATTGCCTATTTACATATGCATCAAAACCATTTGCAAGCACATCATAAAAACAGCTGAAAAGGGTCTGGAAAACAACTGAAGGTACGTTTAAAAACAATGCATCATCATCCAGCTGGAAAAGTTTGTTAAAACAAAAATGTCATCGTTTGTTTCCAAAAAGTACAGGTTGCGGATGACTGTCATAGCTCAGGAAGCTGTTCTCTAAAACAGGGGCAGCCACACAGAAAGCCCTGCTTCATACTACTATGGTGCCGTTATGTCAGAGACATTAAGGATAGAATCTTGCACAGAACCTCGTGACCTATTGGATATATAAGGGATAAGGTGGCCTCCCAGTTAACCTGGTCCTGAGATATAGTGGGCCTTATGTGTTGGTGCTAAAACCTTGAACACAGCCTAGTGGCAGAACTGCAACCATTGGAAATCTAGCAAAGCAATGGGTTATATACTAGCTGTAAGCATGGAGGACAAATTCAGTTCCATAAGGATATAAAGCCAAATCTATCAGATCCACACATTCCAAAACAATATGCAAAGCAAAACACCAACCATCCTTAGAAATTTGCACTGTGCCAAAGTTTGCAGTGCAATTCCCCAGCTAAGCAATGTTCATTACAAAAATGGATATGCTTGTGGAGTGTGTCCATAAAAATGAAGATAAGAATGAAAATAGTATACAAAAATGCATTTTATTGGGGGAGAAACTGCTTGAAAAAATGTGTACATTAGTCAAAATGAAACGCGTTTATTAGAGGTCAACACTGAAATGCTGATGAGTTTTTGTGGGTGGCGAGAAAAAATAGGTATAAAAAAAGAATCCCTGGATACCAAGATCCAAGTCTGGGGCAAGTACTGTTTGGTGAAAAAACCCCAGCAGAGATTTAAAATCACAAAACATGCAGCAAAGTAAAGTTTTGAAATATAGGTTGTTTGAAATATGCCCTTTGAGTTCCAAAATAGTCCCCACTTTCCCCAGCATAGAAAAAGACCACATGCTTAGTAAGTTAAAATTGGTTTACTTACAAACTCTCCAAAGAGCAGATTCATGTGCTTTTCCAGTCCATACAGCATTCAGAAAAATACAGGCAGTAAAACTTGGCTTAGATACAGGGGTGAAAGTTCCTATTATTCTTATTCTGATTAGCCTTTTACTCTAAGGCAGGGGTAGGCTGTTGGAAAACTAGCCCACTTGGGAGAGGCTGGCCCGGCTCCCTGGCTCCCGGGGCTTGTTTACCGGTGATCTACCCTGGCTTCTGGCTTCCCTGCAGTCCAGGAAGATCTTGATAGGCGACATCTCCCAGCGTGGAAGATGCACTCCCCCTCTCTCCTGCATGCCAGTAGGAGAAAGAAGAAAGCAGTCAGAAAGTCTGTTA